TTACAATGTACATTAATCACAATGGAGCACAATGGGAATTACAGTAGGCATGGGAGCTTCTTTATCTGTGTCTGCTTCTCGCTAGCTGTGTGCTTCGGGCAAGTCCATGCAGCTCTTAAAGACAAAGGCTCCCTCTCTTATCTCTGACATGATAGCATTGCCTCAGCCACCGTAACAATGGCCTCGCCACACAGCCTCACATTGTGGGAATCTGTAGCAGACAGTTCTGGTTGCTTATCTAGATGCATTTCTTCCTGGCTCCTTTATCATTCCTGCTTTGTTCACATATCTAGCCTCCACCGTGCACCACACATGCCTCGTGCACCACACATGCCTCGGGGACACTGAGCTTCCTTTAGCTGAAGTAAGCCAAGGGTGACCACAGCTTTCTGGCTTGTGATTTGCTGGAAAGCTGGGCAAAGGCCTTTGCTTGGGGAGCTTCCAGAGGCATCCCCCTGCCTGTTTTCCTGGACACTGGGTAGGCAGTATGCCACAGCTATAGCCATCTAGTTACCAAAGGATATGAGGGAAGGGAGAATCAAAAGAACAGCACAGAATGGGGCTGGAACCACTGGACTAAGTCCACCTTGAAGCCCTCTCTCTCTCTCTGAACCTCCAGTAATGTAAGCCAAGAAATTCATGTATGCCAATTTGGGACTCTCTGTTATTTGTAGCTGAAGCTATCTGATGGCTACAGCATTCTATAAAAGATGCCTTCCCTGACTGAGGATACTCAAAAATTGAATCAGAGTTTATCTTCAAGACCCGCTTGCCCCATGTTGCCTGTCCTCCAAATATTTGGAAAATATTTGCATTGGAACTGATTTTGAGTCTGTGCTTAGGTCCTGTGGATGGGCTCACCTTGCGCATTGCTTTCCATGGCTTCTTACTGCCGCACTCAGCTATGATGCCCAGGGATTCAAGTCAGTGCTCAGAACCCTTAACATCCTGCTTGCCTGGAAGGGGCCCCAGAATCCCTTCCTGGAGCTCCCACTTGTCCTAGGCAACTCAGGGCCATTCTCAATGTGTCAGCTCTGCCAATCCACAATGTCCTCCACGTGCTTCCAGACCCTTAGCTGGAACCACTTTTCATGAACTAAAAAATTCCTTGTGTAGTGGCTTAGGAGACTGTGAGCTCTCAACACAGAGCTCTACAGCCTTATGTTGAGGGCCTGGGTTATTTTTTTTCTAAAAAATGATGCCCTAAGACTCCCAGGGTGAGAATCACCAATATCAGAATCCGATGCTTGTTAAAAATGAAGATTCTCAGACCTGCTAAATAGCATTTCTGGCACTGAGCTGCAGAAGCCCTATTTTTCACAGCCCCAACCAGAATGATCTCAACTCTGGGTCACCCTAAAGACAGTTCAGCTTCTAGTCTCAGCATCTGATGAAAGAGAAGCCAAGGCAAGGAGTGAGGGGGGCTGGGCAGGAGACAGAATTGTGAAGATGAAAGGGGAGTGGGAAGAGTCATAGAAAGATGCTGCACTGTTTCAGATACACAGGAGAGGAACTGTGCCTAAAGGCGGACTCAAATCACAACTGTTTTTCAGTTTCTTGGACTTTCACCTTTGTGCGTTTGTTAGCCTTTGTCTTCTGGCATGATTTGCACCCAGACACAACCAGCATCACCATGTCACCCTCCACAAATCCTATAGTTGACAACACATAATGAGGCAAAAATAAAATAAAATAAAATGTCGAGGATCCAAAGGTCATAGCAAACTTTGTAACTGGTGAGCTACATGTCACGAAAGTTTTGCCTAAGGATCATTTCACGAATGTAAAACATAGTTTCCCGATTTCATGCCACACCTCACCTCCCATGTCCATGCGTGTCCTCATTGTTCATTTCATGCTTTGCGTGGCTTCATAAGTTCCTTTCCAGTGAGAAAGAGAAACCAACCCACCTTCGCCTTCTTCCTTTCTCTTATGAAATATATTTTACCCAGTGATTGACATGACAGAATGCAGATTGTATAGAAAGTAATGCTGATAATTTCTGACTGCTTTCACTCAGAATTGAATTTAGGGACAGCATTTACACATGGGTGGGGAAAAGGTGTTAGGTGACTCTTTTTTTCAAGGAATGATTGATGGATGGAATTCAAAGTTTATTCTAGAATGTAGATCTATTGAAAGTGGACCTTTGACAGGCCATTCCTTCAGATCTTCCTCATATTCATAGCTAATCCCCTTGTCTCTTTTATACTAACAAATCTACATGTTCCCCATCTTTCCTCACTCCACTACTAGGATTCTCACTGGACATTTTGACACTAAAGTATTTCTCATTTTCTTACCCACAAGGGGCAAATTAAATTAATCTGAGGCCTGGGATGCTTGTCCATTCCAGGTCCCTATGCAATGGACTTTAAATATCTATGCAGTGAACTCTAATGATTGAATTTATTTTTTGCAGTCTAGTTTTTAAATTACATTGAAGATACCACAGAGTCAACTTAAAGTGCATAGGGCTTTCAGATTAGAACTGAAAGGTCAGGTGTTGGAGTCTGGGCCTTCTGATCACCAACATCACTTCCATCTTTTATTCTTTCCTTTGGTGGCTCCCAAAGTAGCTGTGTTTCAGAATCATTTGAGGAATTTTTTTTAACTACACATTTTTTGACTCAACGCAGCGAATCTGACTTTGTGAAGCTGGGGCCCAGATTTATTTTTTTACAATATCCCCCAAGCAATCAGGCAGATACCAGGGACACATTTACTGAAGACTTTTAGGGAGCACTTCTATCTGGTACAGGGGTTCTTAAACTTGCACATGCATCAGAAGCACCTGGAGGCCTTGTTAAATCACAGGTTGAACCCGCAGAGTTTCTGATTTAATAGGTCTGAGATGATGTCTGAGATTTGCATTTCTAACAAGTTTCCAGGTGATGCTGTTGGGCCACACTTTTAGAGCCATGCCTGTAACCGAGGTTGCTTGTGTCTGTGTTTATTACTCATCAGCATACCTATTATGTGCCCAAGGACCAGGCTTCAGAAAAAGGAATGATCCTCTTACATCAGAGGTAACACCTGGATGAGCATTATAATCACCTGAGTGCTTTTTTCCGTTTGTTTAAATTTAACTTTCAGCTATTGGGGGTGGGCTTCAGCTTCATCCCAGAGCTACTGAATCAACATCTCCAGAATGCCCTGGGGACTTATTTTGTTTTGAAGTTACTCAGAAGATTTTATTACAAGGATTCGAAACCATTTCCTTAGATGAGCCAGTCTTGTGAGTTCATGAATAACTTACACAAAAAATTATTTTTTTATCTGAAATTCAAATTTGATGCGGCATCCCATATTTTTATTTGTAATTCCCTGTTCACTCAGCTGCCTTTACCAGAAGCTTGTTTCCTCTGCACTCCTTCCTTTGCTCAACATACCCCGATTTTAAATGCGTAAGGGAGTGGAGGTGAGACGTGAAATCCATACGAACTTGATGTTCAGGGTAAAGAAGAGAAATTAAGATATTTCCTCAGGAAAGAAAAAAACACACACAAAAGAAACTTCATTAATCTATACAGCAGAAACAAAATCAGGAAAAAAAAAGTGCTGTCTGCTAATGGTTTTTTTTTTTTTTTTTAACCAGACAATTTGTCAATTACACAGTCTAAAGAAACCCTGGGGAATAAAAAGATGCCAAAGATGCTATTAAAATTTCCAAGCGAAGCCCCACATAATTAATTTCAAACAAGTATAAGCTATGAAAACCCAAATACTTCACGGTGCTGAGTGAAAGATGGGATAAATCTACATTAGGCTTCAAAACTGATGCTACCAGGTGAGTCTAAGTTTGGGCCAGAGACAGGGAGATAATGATGTCTGCTCCCTCCCTGTTTGATAGGACGCTAAGGAGCCTTAAGACGAAATGCTCCCGGTGCATCAACGATGAGAAGAAACATAAATACAGCTCAGCCCCTGACATTAGTACGTAACTACTAAGATGGAATCAAACACATGAAACAATCAAAACAGAAGACAAATTCACTGACTCAGAAGACAGAGAAAACAAGGGAAGTGATTTGGCCAACCATTGCTCAGGCTGAGTAACCACCATTAGCACCATGGTCCCTGCAAAGAAAGCTTCTTTCTCCTTAAGCAGTCTTGACATCCCATAGATTAGGGGTCAGCAAATTTTTCCTGAAAAGGGCAAGATAGTAAAGCTTTTAGCCTTTGCAGACTATACAGTCTCTGCTGCATCTCGGCAACCCTGCCATTATAGCACAACAGGAGACACACACAATACATAAACAAGTGGCCATGGCTGTGTTTTAATAAAGACTTATTCACAAAAATGGGTGGTGGAATGTATTTGGCCTGTGGGCCATAATTTGCCAACTCATGTCATAGGTGAGCCCATGTGGCAAGGATAGCATCATTAATAGAGTCTACAGGGCACCCAGCATTCTAATGATGGATATTTAATTAGGGGAAAAAACCCATTCCATTAACTCATCACTAGAAATACAAGGATAGAGTGTTTAAAGGTCATCCCAAAGTGTGACTGAAGGCAGGAAATCAGAATTCTAGAAACAGGAAGAAGATGCTCATTTGAAATTCAGAGATTGCATTATAAGTGGAAAGAGAAGAGAATGGGACCAAATATTTTAGCATGTATTTACAGAAGTTATCTTGGTAGACATGGCATGCATAAAGAATATGACTGAAGGAGGAAAAGGGACCCTCCTTGCCATTTTCTCTGACTAGAACTTTTGAAGCTACTACTGCTGAGGGTGCATCATATGACAAGGTGTCATCTTCCTTTATCAGGGAGGTTTCCCAGATATTCTCAGGTCACTGAGTTTGTATTAGCATCCTAAAATGCATCTCTCCCCCAAAAGATAAAAGCTAAGTAGCTTTAGCATAGAATTTTATAGTTTAACACATATCACCAACGGTGCATGGACACAAATGTCAGTGACCTATTTTATGGTCCTGGTAACTGTTTCACCAGAGGTCTCCACATCAGTCAAGAAACACACAAGCATGCATTTACATTGTATAATTTAAAAGCTTTATTTCCCCCCACAATTAGCAAATAGATTTCATGTTAGTTCAACTGGAAGTTTTCTTCGTGGCAGTTGCCTTTCTCATGCACTAGTCTGTTGGTGGGGAAAACTGCTTTCTCGTGAGGGGAAGGGTTAGATTTCACAGAGCTAATCACATAAACAAGAAGGTTTGACCTGGCAGCCTCTGAGGCAGTCAAGGAGGTCAAGAAATTCTTTCAGCTAAAGGCCTAGTCAGGTGGGACTAGTTGCCAGGATCCACTCTGCAGAACTGACCAAACGTAGCTCTCTTTGACCAGGAAGCCTGGAAGTCAGACCATCTTCTCAGGCCCTGCCAAATTCCCATCCTCAGTCCTGTGGCCTTATGTGGGAACATTTTATCAAAGCAAACCACTGGCTTTCGCCTTGGGGTCCAATGTGCACTCTTCACCAAGTGCAAGATTGATCTTCACTCCAAAGTTCGCCGTTCACACAGTTTTTGGCTTGTGCTTTAGAGGCTGGTCTCTGCCTCTCCTAGGAATGGTGGCATCACAGCAATGGAAGCGCAAAGACCCAGGCGAGCACTGGTAGGTAGGGTGTGGGGGCACTGCTGCCAGATGTTCTCTGAGCGTGCATTACGGCAAACACTGCATTAGTGTGATTGGTGGGTAATTCTACATTGCAGATCATTCCTTCACAGCAAGACCTACACTCCTGTTACAAAAAGGAGAGAGGAAAGGACAGTGAATAATAGGAAGAAGAGGGAAGGGGCAAAAGAAAGAAAAAGAAAGAAAGATAAAAGAAAGGCTTCTTCAGCTCTATCTGAAGACAGATAATTGGAGTTGGTTATCCAATTTTGCGTCATCTAGGCTCTTGGGTACCCTTCCCCCACGAATGCCAATGGAATGGAAGGGAAAAACCATGCTGAAAGTCTTTTATCCTAACTGTGAGTTATCTGCGTCAAACCCAACCCAAGCGTTAGCAAGGCAAAGAGGAAGAGAAACTGAATAAGAGTGCTTGATTGAATCCACAAATCTTCTAAAGGTTTGTAAGGGAAAACACTCAGACAAAAATGAAAGCTAGGAACCTTTGGGATTAGTCATTGATTTTCTTTCCTAGTGCTACTTGTTAGGGGATAATAATGACTCTGTATTGTCTATGCTAACACCTGATTCTTATCATTACAGCAACAATGGTTTGCTAATTATGGTTGCTGAGTGGTGTAAGAAAAAAAAAAAAAAAAGGCTTGTCCCTAACAGGTGTTTTCAGGGGATGTTTTCAGGTAATACCAAACCTTGCCAGGTACAATGCCTCAACCTGATAAACCCAGCCATTCATAGAGGCTTCCAGGATGACTAGGTATGATAAAGGCATCAATTTTAGGCATCCATATCAGTGGTTCTCAACCCTGGCTGCACATCAGAATCACCTTGGGGAACTTTTTAAAAAGATCCTGACACCCAGGACCCTACTCTGAGGTTCCATTTCAACTGGTGTGGAAAGCCTGCCGGCCCACATCCCTCAACAACAAGCAGAGCGTGTAAAAGCTACCCAGGTGATTCTTGTGTAGCTAGAGCTAAAAGCCACTGATTTAAGAATCATTTTCTGTACTTACAGGGTAAATCAAATTCTAAAACCTCATGAAATGAACATACTTTCAAGTAATTCTTTCTTAAGCATTTCAGAATTCCAGGCATATAAAGGAGTGAAATGCTCATTTAGAATGATAGAATGAGAACGTTACAGTGATCAATTGATCTAAAAGGTACCTACAGTTCATCATATTAAACTGAGGCTAATCCTTCAGACTCCCTTCCTCATCTAAGCAGAAGCAGCGGATAAGACAAAGTTTCCTTCATAAAAACTGTCACCATAGTCCCCTTGTCACCTTCCAGTGTGCCTTTGCAGTGTTCTTGGGGACTCCTGGCCATCAACAGAGCAGAGCAGGCTTTGCCATTTTCTTGTGGATAGTTTGCTCTCAGGTTACCAGAGTTGGCCTTACATCATTCACCCACAGTCTGAGGTCTAGGGTCTAGCTCTGGAGTCTGGGGAATGCCGCTTGTTTATAGTAACATTATTTCTTTTTGAAAGACAGAAAGTCCAACTGTTCTTTGGTCTGTATTTTATCCTTGTATGGAGTCTTTCCTCAAAATGCAAACACGGTCAACATTTTACTATCCTTCCTGCCTCTCCTTTGATCTACGACTTATGTTACTAGCATGAAAGTTTAGACAATAACACACACACACAATCCTTACCGTATGTTCAGAATCTCGGCTGTGGTGGCAACCGACAAAATGACATTCACTTCTGGAGGCGCACTTTTTAGTGATGGATGTGCTTCTTCCATGGCTGGTAAAGTGATGAACTGTCAAACAGTACTGTGTGTCTAGGCAAGAGGAAACAAAAAACAAAACCGAGAAACAAGGTAATTTCATTATCCACATTACAAAAGAGATCGCTCAACAAGAAAGGACTCAAATTCAGGCCAGTCCTGGGGTTTCTAGGCAAGACATTTCATAGCAGTGAACTCTGAAGTTTCTAGGGGATATTTTCAAGACACCAGCTTCTGAAGCACGTGCGGGTTTTGAAAATGAATGTAAACGGGCACTCATCCTGTGGTTTCGGTTAGAGCTGAGGAAAAACTGAAAGCATTTATTTTATCAAACCATGGGTCTGCTCATTTGATATGAAAATATTTATGTCTCTGGCCCTCTCTTTTTCTCTCCCTCTGAAGCACGTTCTCGAAATCTAAAATAAAATGAAAATTGTGAAGGTAAAATGCAATGGGGCAGAACACTTGTTTCATTATTCATCATTTTTCTCTTATATATTAATAGGCCATGTGGTGAGCTGGGGTGAAAAGCAGGTGCTTTGAATTACACATCACGATCACCTTTTTCACTCATCTGTTAATTGCAAACACTGCAATTAATTTTGTACCAACCTAATAATTTCTATTCTGGTTTTAATCCTACCAATATGTTAGACTTTTCTCATCAATGTATTTCCATTTCTCTCCTCCTCTTTAATTAACTCTTACTTTCCCTGTTTACCACCCACCACCTCCTGCTTAGTATAGCTACAGTACCTCATTTCTACCCAGAATTATCCTTAAGGTTTTATGCCACTCACATTTTATTACTTAGGGTTCTTTCGAGAAGTTTCATTCAATATCCTAGGACATTATTCTTTGGTTCTGTGTCTCTTTTATACCGGAGGCCAATGAAATGCTTCTTAGTTTATTGATCAGAGACTACAACAGCAATGCCATAGAATGGGAAAAAATTGGACTAAAGCTGAGAAGATTGGGCTTATGGAACTGCCTCTGTCATAGGTGAGCAAGTCATGTTAGATCTTCTGAGCTCATTTTTTTTTTTTTTTGGTTTTAGGAAAATGATGATAGATAACAAGTGTCTTGGTGCTTTGATAGAGTGGTGGTAAGCTTTACATAATACGAACAGTAGCAAGACCATATTGAGTGTGCACCATCAGCCAGGTACTCCTCTAACTTGCGTTCAAGCATTCAATCCTTACCATAAGCCTTAAGATAAGTCACATTAACAGCCTCATTTTACAGTAAATTGAGGACAATTTCTTGCTTATGGTCACATAGAAAGAAAATGGTGAAGAGTAGGATTCTAACCCAGGAGGTTTTCTAGGGCTTGCACTCTTAACCAGAACATTATTCTACTCCTCAGTATACTTAATATTAAACCACGTGGCAATTGATATGGTTTGAATCTGTGTCCCCATCCAAATTTCATATCAAACTGTGAGCCCCAGTGTTGGAGAGGGGAGGTGATTAAATCATGGGGGCGGATCCTTCATGAATGTTTTAGCACCATCCCCTTAGTGCTGTTCTTGTGATAGTGAGTTCTCGTGAGATCTGCTTGTCTAAAACTGTGTAGCAGCTCCCCGCTCTCTTTCTTGCTCCTACAACCACCATGTGAGATGCCTCATTCCCCCTTTGCTTTCTGCCATGATTGTAAGTTTCCTGAGCCCTCCCCAGAAGCCAAGAAGATGCCAGCATCAGGCTTCCTGTACAGCCTATGGAACCGTAAGCCAATTAAAGCTCTTTTCTTTATAAATGACCCAGTCTCAGGTGTTTCTTTATAGCAATGCAAGAACAGACTAATACAGTGATATAATGTAGAGTGCCCTACAAGAGTAGCTGACTTCCAGATTCAAAAGGAAAGGGAGCCGCTAAAAGTTCTGAAGAAGACATTTCAATTTCTATTCCAAACAAAGAAGAATCGAAAACTGGTAGCTGCATGTGTTCATACAGAATGGCACATATGCTAAGGCAGCCCTAAAAAGTCAGCATAAAAGCCAGGGTAAATAAAACAAGAAATGTCATTCTTGTCATATCCTGTTACACAGAGAACTTCTTTTAACAACCCCGACAGACCACAGAAGTGAAGCTGTAAAGTGAAAAGGAAACCTGAGATGACAAAGAACAATAGCTGTAGGCCTATTTGCCCCCAGAAATGGTTGACTATCACTCCCTGAAATGACAGAGTGAAAAGTAAGAAGTTACACCCTCAATTAGAATTCCAGGTGGTTAGTGTCTTTGGGACCTGCCTGGCCTATAGTCAAGAATGGTCCTGTCGTGCCATGCTGGAATGCAGGGCCATTCTGTATTGAGCCCATTAAGAGTCAGCCTCTCAGGTGGATGCAGCAGAGCTGACTCTCTTCCACCCTTCCCATCTCTGATGTTTTCTTGGTGATGGAAAGCTGCAGCTTTTCCTTTGGTTCAGCCATGTTTCAACAGAGAAGAAATCCTAAAACCCAGAAACAGCCACACATAATCTTTGCCTGCATGCTAAAATGGCTTTGGTTAACTAATGACAAATTGGAGCATTATGCACAGACCTAGTAGGAACAGTGTTTTGGTACAATTCAAAACAATAGCATGATCCATGAAGATAAGGCCTAATAGGCTGGTCATCAGTGCCGCAGTTTACTACTGTTCTAACCCTTGCTGCGCAGTTTTCAAGGCAACTTAAAGCAAATTGTTAAAGGATGATACTCTCTGAAACAAAGTAGTAAAGAGAAGCATCAACAAACCTTGAAAACTTTGAAGTAAAGATAAATTTCTGCTGAAAATGTAGAAATAAATCCCCGAATATATACAATAACGCATGCACATACACTCATAAGCACACACACAACTTAAGGACGGTCCCTTGACAGAAATGTAAAAGAACCCCAAGAAAAACATATTTTGGTAATTAATTATTCTTGAAAATAAATAAGAAAAAACACTGTCCATATGGATGTCACAGCCATTTGTGCTAATTTATGGCATAAGATTCTCAGGCATAGTAGAGGTCTCCAGTGTGTAGTATTTATTGACTCCACACATTGGTTTTAACTGGAAGAGATAAGGCTATGCCACTGCTATAAATAATGTGGTACTGGAATTTCCAAAAGATTCCTGGTAACAGGAGACCAAAACTAGTTATCTCCAATTCCACAGGAGTTTGTTTTTCTTGGCCTTTTATATCTGAAAAACCTAAAACACAGCACGTTCTAAAATCTGAACAACCCAATCTCCTCATAAGTATGGTTTTAACATTTCAATTCATCCATCAGCACATTCTGTCTGCTTTACTTCCAAGTTCATATGCATTCAATCATTCACCTCCCCACCTCCTCTGCTCCTACCAACCTAGTCCAAATTCTCATCTTCTGTCTGAAGACAAGAGTCCTCACTTGGTGTTCCCTTCTACTCTTGTCCCCAACCCTCCATTCTCCACACAGCAGCCAGAGCAGTATTTTGGAACACAACTGCTGTGGACTCCCTAGCTTAAAACTCCCTACCACCTTCTCATCACCTTTACAATAAAATCCAAACTATCAGAAAAAAGAAGCTCTTGCATGTCCTGGCCCTTGCTTCCCTCTCAGATCCTTCCTCCATCTCCCACTAACCCTCTGCAGCCAGTCTCCTTCCTGTTCATTGAAGAGGCCAACTATCAACCTTGAAAACTCTGCATTTGCGATGCCCTCTTCCCGGTATGTTCTTCCTACAGATCTCCACATGGCAGCTTGCTGTGGTCACTCAGGTCTTAGTTCTAAGGTACAGTTCTCAGAGAAGATTTCCCTGACTATCTAATCAGAGACTTTCATTCATTCTGTCAGCAAATATTTACTGAGAAAACATGGGCCAGGCACTGGATTAGGCACTGGGATATATCAGTAAACTAAACAAACTAAAAAGATACTTGAAAGTTTGTTAAATGAATGAATGAGTTTCCCAAATATCAATGTATCTAAAGAGTACAGAAATCATCCTTTGTCTTGAGATGGTAAGTATGACTTTTCTAGACGTATAATCAGGTATTTCTGAAATTCTGAGAATGACTTAATCAATATTGTGGTCTATGTGTTCTCCCTGGTAAATAACATTTAAGAAATTCTTCCTTAAGGTACTCAACTTCAATGTGAGGCTTTGACACCAGTTTCCAAGAACTCTCAATATAGTCTGATGCTCGGATAGTCTCAGAAAAAAATACATCTGATTCCTAAAGAACATCATCAAATCAGGAGAGATTCAAAAGAAATGAGATCACAGAAGTCTTCCAAACTCAGCACACTTACTTTGTGGACACCATTTGTCTTCTGCCCATCTATTGCAGTTATAATTATCCCCTGCATTTTCACAAGTAAAGCACTTGAAGCTATTTGGAAATGGTGTAGCTTTAAAGAAAAAAGCAAAGTGAAACAGTAAGTTACAGAAGACAAAAATTTCAAACATCAAATATGGCACAAAATTAGCAACTTTAACAGATGAAACAAAACTTAGAAGCTTTCATCCTTAAAATTTCTGTTTCTAGAGAGCTAGATTTACCCATCAGGCTTTTGGGGACCTTTCTTTATTCCTTTTTGTTTAAATGTCTTCTAAGAATTGCCACTATAGAGTAATGAAAGTGGTCCCACAGCTACTTTGAAAGATGCATAGTATTGTTCTATTATCATTTATAATTTGGGAATAAGTAGGGGCTGAGGGGGTGAATGAGGGTGGGAGAGGTATTGGAACACATGTGTCATCCCTGAAAAGAACTGGAGTCAGATTAACCTGAGTTTGAATTCTGTTCTTCCCACAGATTAGTTGTGTGATTTTTAAAATTCTAAGCTATAATAATATTTATATTAATAATGAAGATGCTCATGACTTGCAGAAGTATAATGATTAAATAGGGGGTTGCAAGCAAATACCTTGTAGTCTCTAGCACATCAGATCATGCTGGTTTCTGTCCATATGCACTTCCAATACAGCTACATTTAACCTCAAACAAGTAATCTCATCTGATAATATGCCAATCATCACAACATTAGACCTTGGCCAGGAATATAACATTTAATATGAGGATGATAGTAATTCTTAAGCCCTTATCATTAGACTAGTTTGTTATGGAAAGAAGGATTTCTGAGTTGCTGGCAGTCTGAACTGAGAGCAACTTGTCTTTATGCCTTTTTTTTTTTTTTTTTTTTGCCTTCTAGTATCTTGTAACTTTAGTGACCAAGAAGAAAAAACTAAAATAATTTGACATTTCTGTATAGATAAGGTATAGGACCCTGTGTACAACTTTCAATTCTCCCATTTTTGTAAGACAAAGACACTGTTTCATCCTCTTTGTTCTATTAGTAAGACAGTAACCATCCTAGTAATACAACTAGAAGTTGGGGTGAAAATCAGAAAGCAGTGGGAATTTCAGAAAAAGGGGAGGATATGTATGGTAGCATAAAACAAGAACAAAATATCAAAAGCTAAAGTTTGGAGGACAGGAAGTTAAATACTGAGGATATATTTCGGTTTTGCCTATGTTTGAAAGTGTATTAGGTAAATAAATAAATAATGACATCCATTTTCACCAATTAAATCAGTACAGTTAAAAAATACTAATATTCAATGCTGGTAGCTAAATGGTTAAAGTATAAATTGGCACAACCTTTTTGATTTAGTAATTCCAATTCCAGGAAATCTATTCTAAGGTCATTAGCCAACTGAAGAGAAAGTGCATTTAAAAAGATAATCAGTGAAGAATTATTTAACATTTAGGTTGCTTGTGATTTATTTTTCTTTCTGATGTAAAGTGTGGGGGAATAGTGAAATAAGCTACAGACCAGCCTTATGATTTTTTTTGTTAATGTAGAAGACATTAAACTATCTTCAAAGACATTGGGAAATATTCAAAATATGTATAAAGACAGGAAAAACTGTGTAAAACTAAATTTGTACCATCTCAGTATATCACATATGTAAATACACATACATAGAAAAAACACTGGAAGGAAAATATTCCAAAAGAAAAACTCCTTTGAATCTTGAGGTTACAAATAAATTTTATTTTCTTCTATATGTTTTCTGTCTCTGGAATTTTCTATAATGAACATGTATTACTTTTTCTTTTTTTAAATTATTTTTTTCTCATCATAAAATTGTACTAAGCTTAAAAATTTCAAAATTTGTAGAGAAGTTAGGGTCTATGAAAATGATGTCTGTGCCATGTCTTTCAGTTATCAGTATATAATTATTACCAATTTAGGAATGTATAATGGTAGTTCAAGGTGTATATGTGTAGTATATGTATGTATATGTACATGTGTAGTATACATGTGTATATATGCACACACACAGAGATAACCATTCCAAATAATAAAACACAAAGTAAAGAACAGTAATGATATAGATCTCATTTAGGAGTAGTATAAGAAGAGGGGGTTCTCACACCTGACCATGTATCAACAGTATCAGGAGAGCTTCTTAAAAAAGAAAAGCAGGGAAAAAAAGAAATAAATACATTCTGCATCTCACCCTTTTGACTATTAAATCTCTGGAGAAGTGATTAGGGATATGCAGTTAAAAATCCTTTCATAATGATTCTGATACTCTTCCAGGCGTGGGAACTACAGGCACTCACATGTATACCAAATAATTTTTTATTTATAAGAATCACTCTTTAATAAAGTATATCAAAGAAGTTTTACTTGTCTAAAAAGAAAGGAGGGTTAATGACATATGTATACAAACACGTATCTATACATATGTATGTAAAATGTATTAACATATATGTCCTGTAGATGATATACACTAATATTTGCCTATTTTTAAACTATTAGTGGGAAAGTTGAGTCTTATGTAACCTTTGCTAATGGTGATTATGCGTGGTAGTAATGAAAATCCAGGTGATATTTTCTTCCAAATTTCAAACAAATAAATCTGTTTTCAAAATCCTTAATGGCCATTTGAAAAAATTAATAGATCATTTATGCAGAAACATTCAACAGCCAATTTCCTTCTCCAGGGAAGACACAAAGAACAATGAATTTCCTCTACTAGGCCATGATTAGGAATGGTGTTTCAGAAGTGTGTGTGTGTGCGAGTTCTTTTTTTTTTTTTTTTTGAGACGGAGTCTCGCTCTGTCACCCAGGCTGGAGTGCAGTGGCCGGATCTCGGCTCACTGCAAGCTCCGCCTCCCGGGTTTACGCCATTCTCCTGCCTCAGCCTCCCGAGTAGCTGGGACTACAGGCGCCCGCCACCATGCCCGGCTAATTTTTTGTATTTTTTAGTAGAGACGGGGTTTCACCGTGTTAGCCAGGATGGTTTTGATCTCCTGACCTCGTGACCCGCCTGCCTTGGCCTCCCAAAGTGCTGGGATTACAGGCGTCAGCCACTGCGCCTGGCCCCAAAAGTGTTTTTTAAAACAAGAATGCTATTAAAACTTCAGCAGGAAGCCAGACCATTTTAAGAAATGGAGAAACTTTCACTTACCATACGCTTACCCATAGAAGTAATGGAGACTTTCTGTTTTATTCTAGGGATAAACCAAATGTTCTGGGAAAGACAAAGTTACAATAAATGGAAAAGGGGGCTTCATATGAACACTCTGACCCCACAGCCACGAACTAGGATGGCAACCACCACTACTTACGGTCGAGAGGAGGCCTCACATTATAGAAGTTGATGTTCTTGGCAAATGCCCAGCTTTCTGAGAAGATAACGATCTGGACAACAGCTATAGCAAGAGCGTGACAGAGGAGCAGCATGCTGACCTTGTGTGCTGGGCGGTCCAAACTCTTCTATCTGTGGTGAAAAGACACACTGGTTCAGTTTCTTTATATTTTACACATCAGTGGGTGTTTGTTTTGCTTCTGTTTGGAAAGTTCCATTATTCAAATATATCCAACCATCTAACCTGTTCTGTAGGGCCAGGACCTGTGAGTAAATTGCATTGTTTTTGATCAGATGAAAGGTGAGTAATGACCTCCTTCTACTGGTCAGGCCTCTGCACTAGCCAGGTAGGCTTTAGCAGCACACACGATGGCCTTTTGAGTTCAGAAAGGACAAGCAGGCAGAGCTGGCCTGGCTGCACCCCATTCCCTCAGTGCCTGCGGCTAGCTGGTTTCCTCTGTGCTGAATCACCGGATTTCTTAAATCAACCGTGGTTCTGAGGCATGTTGAGCCAAAGTCACTGGACCACCTATCTGTCAGTTCTATTCCTTGAGTCAACATTTACATTTGATAAATTTTGCAACTCTTTCAAAACCTGGAAGAAACAATAAAAGTGGGAGCAGTGAGAAGGACGGCAGGGGAAAGGACAAGGAGTCTGAGAAATAAAATCTCTGCTAGATCTCACAGCACACTGATAGTAAGAAGAGAGACAAGAGTCGCTGTGAACTGCCAGCCCCTCCTGTTTCTGTCACCCTGGGCACAAGAAGCTGCCAGGAGGTTCTAGAGGAAACAGAATAAAAGTTGTCTGAAAAACTGACAACCATATAATGTTAGTCCTGGTCCACAAATACTACTCACCGTGTTTACAGACTTTAAGTAGGCAGGGGAAAATCCCAACAAAATGACAGACATGTACATAGCACTGAGTAAAAGCTATGACATCTTAAGCCCCCTGGCTCTGCTACCCCAGAGGCAGACCTGGTAGCAAGAACATTTATAATGTCACCACTGACAGGTTTCCTTTGACAAGGGGGAGGTGTGGGCAGCAGAAAAAGTATGTTAACTGGGAACCTAAAGACTTTGGTTCAGGTGCTGGCTCTGCTATTTATTAGCTGCCTGACCTGGGCAAGCTCTTTAAACTCTATTAACCTTAATTTCCTCATCACATTTACCTACACTGCCCACATATGTAGATAAATGTGAGCATCAAATGTAGGTTCAGAAGGGATCACATAGGATTGTGTACATAAAAGAACTCATCATAAAAGTTCTGTGAAAATACTGGAATACTAGAGTTCAATAATATTGGCTGAACTCCTTCTTGCTGAATCAACCAGTTTCAATGGGTTTAGGGAATTTTTCAAAGGAAAAAGTTCGATCTCTGCATATACAAGCATAATCCTTCACAGGCACATTTTGTTTGAAGCCAGAGCAATAATGCACAGATTCTAGGAATTTTCTTCTCTCTCTTATTGTGGGTATACTGATTTTGCATGTGTCGCTAATAAGGCCTGCCTATGGGGATGGAACTAAGTTATTAGACAATATGTAGCCATAACATCCTATCATCCCTATTGATGGCGTTTGCCACTAATAGAACTGAGTTGCTAAGAAAGTACTCAGAGTTATAAAACAACAACAACAACAACTTGTGTGAGTATGTTTCAAAAAACAATAGCGAGACTTTCTACCTGCATTATAGCTCATTTACATAATCATACCTAGTGATATATAAAAATATATATAAATCTTTCCTAGTTCATTTTAGAAACCAAGATTGGCCTTTCAGTTATTGGATTTCTAAATTCTATTCTTATGCTCTTTCTGAAGAAATGGACAGTTAGCAAAAAATATTATCCCTTACAGTCAAGTGGTTGTACCGATACAGATTCTGCTTCTCCTATTTATTTCTCTGAATTGGTCTATTCCATAGTCATTATTGTACCCTTCTTTATACCAGTGGAGACCCTTTGAGTGGGGGAAACTAATTAATCCCTTTTTCACAGTCTCAGAATGACTGTTCCAGTAGCAATCCTCAAGTGTTCTTATAATATGGAGAGAAGGCCTAAGATATAGGTTTCAGTGTCGTGTTGTCTATATTCAAATCTCTTTTTCACCACTAAGCAACTATGGGACCTTGGACAAGTTGCTGAATTTCCAAGACTTGGCTTCCTCATCTCTAGAACAAGCATAGGATAGTACTTACCTCATAGTTTTGAACCGAGGACTGAACGACCCAGTGCATAGGAAGTGAAGCACATAGTTCGCATGCACTGAGTCATTGAGCTGAGAACATGTGCTGAGTGCATGGTTAAAGCTCTATTTATTGAGCACTTTCTACTCAACAGTAAAGAGCATTGGCTCAAATACCTGCAATCAAAACTGCTATTTGGTGCAAGCTCCTCAACTTCCCTGTACCAAAAATTTTGCATCTATAAAATGGGAGTAATAATACCCACTTCATAGGGTTGTGGGAATTAAATTAATGCCTGTAAAGTACTTAGTTACGTGCGTGGAATTTTACTAATTTTTACTAAGTAAGCACTTACTATTATGAACAAATCCCCAGTTTGGTATCACAAGTAAAAAGTTTGGTTTTCCTCATGTAATCTCAGTGTGAGACAAAAGCCCACTCATTCATTCAACATGTTGTTATTGATACCTAATAAATAACAAGTTATTGTTATCACTGACTCCCCAACAAGGTCTTGACTCTAATGCAAATTGCATTTTAGAGGGAGAAGACAGGCAATACATGTGGGCAAAACATAATTTCAGATAGTCATAAGTTTCATGAAAGAAACACAATAAGGCGAGACGATAGTGAAGAGAAGGTGCTACTTTACACAGACAATGGACCCAGTGTGTCTCTCTGAGTAGGTGACATTCGAACAGGTAAATTAAATGATGGGAAAGAATCAGCCAAGTAAAGAATCAAGGGAAAAGTAACGAAGGTCCTAAGATGGGAGGAAGCTTGCCTCATGGGGGGAACTCAAAAAAAGCAGCCAGTGTGGCTGGAACATGAAGAAGTAGGGGACTGGACAGTTAGGGAGTCGGCAGGGCCAGATCACACAGATGCTTACTTGCCACGGCAAGAATTTTGAGTCCAGCAAAATCAAGAAGTTGTTTAATTTAGACCATCTAATCGTGAACAATGCCAAGAATGCTTTTTCTCTATCAAGTAATTGGTCCCAGATTCCTAGCCTTATCTCTAGTTCCTGAAACAAAGGGATACAAATGATAGTGAACATAGAGGAATATGGAATTCAGATACACTGCAACAGTCTCTCTAAGAATAAATGACAGACAACTTAAAAACAACTGATTGAAAACAAACACAAGGATTAGGCTTCTTTCTGGTTTTTCTATCCTTCGAAATAGCACCGTAGGAACCCTAGCTTCCTTATCATTGTACAAGTGAGGAAACTGTGGTTTGGCGGCAACATATGTAATGATCCCAACACACTTCTCAGAACATAGTATCCTCTCAAAACACTTCCACATAGCACAGCCTAGCCTGCTAAACTTGAAAGCTAATGAGAAGTATACCAAAAAAAATTGCTTCCATATAGACAAAATGTATTTTCATTTCCATTTTTAACTAAAATAGCATAGACTTATTCTATCAAAATTCTGCAAAACTGCCAAAGTTTTGCCTGTCAAGTGAGGAAAGTACTAAATAAAAATGTCTTCTATTTCCAGAGCATGTTTTCTAATCTCTTACCATCTACTGCTTCTTCCTGAGGACTTACATCTATCTCTATCTATTCTTCAGTGTGTAGGTTTGTGTTAACATGACTGTTTTATTTTTCACAACTCAAACACATTAGGATAATGAAAAAGTAAATGACTAACTCTAGTAGCTGACAGTTGTTTTACATTTAGAATCATTTCACAGAGACTCTGAGCTAAAAATTATCTGCTGAGACTTTGCTGAGTAGGCTTTCATTGCAGCCCTTTGTGGCAGAACAAGGTCACAAGAGAGCTTATATTTTGCTCCAGAGGCGGAGAAATCTTTCATATGGATTAGATTAAGTCATTCAGGTTATTTTCTCCAAAGCCATCACATAGAGCAGTGTTACTTCTTCATACGCAAAGAGAGGTGGCCTATGAGCGTCTTCAGGTTATTTGCAAAACTATGTGTCTAGACATGTTTTCCCTCTGGGTGGAGTATCTCAAAGGAATCCACATAATTGATTGTAGAGACCCACATAATGGTTAAGAGCAACTTCTTGCTCTTTCAGAATATGGCTATAATAATTTGGCTTCCTGTGACTTAGACATTTTCATATTTTGACATTAAGAGAGAAAGTTCCACATATATATTAGGTATCTGGTCCACTTCGTGAACTCAAGGGTAGCTCAAAACATTTTTCCCAACACAGAGCTTATTACCTTCATCCATCCTTCCCACATAGTAGGCCTGGTCAGAAATCCCTCACCGATGGTATTAATCTTTCCTGTGCTTTATGAGTCCTCCCTTTGGAAGATACATTAATACTTGCTCCAGAATGCAGAGTGCTTCCTTGCCAGAAGGAAGGGATTTCTGCAAGGCATATATATAGGGATACAGCAGGGATGGGCGACTCTCAGGCTTCCAGAGAATTGCAGGTAGCCAGATTTGTAAATTTAGGAAGCCCCACCTGAGACTTTGGCCTATTACTGACCAGAATCAAGGACTTACCTGGCACTTGGTCCAGAAGCATGACTATTTCCCAAGTTTGAGCCTGGATAATCATCTCATCCAACATGTGGCATTTTACACTTTCAGGGAAAAGACAGAAAGTTGATGGGGTTTTCAGGAAGCAGCACATCTTTGACATCATAAACTCTTTTGAGGTAGGAAAATGACCCACATTTTTTTGTTATATTCCCCAGGCCATCCTCAGTGCATGCTAGATACTCAGCAAATACTTTATGGAATAGAGCCAACCTCATTAGCTATGACCTATAAAGACTGCCTTAGTTAGTAAGCAAGACAAAAGTGGTGGGCTGTTTAGAATTGGCAGGGTGTCCAAAGATGATAAAGAAATGATGAAAGGTGATTTGAAAAAGAAGAGACTAAACAAAGGTGGCAAATGCTGGCATTTCTTGCACAATTGCTAAAAATGAGTCAGCAAGCACAAGGCCAA